AGTTGTATACTGTATCCATTCTTTCCAAAATGCTTCATTTTCTCTCACCTCACATGCTTTCATTACCGAGTACCTCTTAACTGATACAGAGGCAACAGTTCTCAAAGTGTAATCCAGGAACCCTTGGCTGTTGATGAGTTTCTTTCATAGGGTCTGCAAGATCAGTGCTGTTTTCATAATTATGCTATGATAATTGCTTTTCCATTCTTATGAGTGTATAGTGGATTCTTTTGTAGAGTAAGATAATGTCTGATGATACCATGGCTCTGGTGGCTAATGAATGATATTGGCATTTGTATTTGTGTGTTTTAAAATGTTGCCTTCCTTAAATTCTCATAGGGCAGATACTGATAGATATAACAAACAAAAAGTTCTTCAGGTTCTCAGTAATTTCTTAGAGGAAAAATGGGAGTGGAATCTCCAAACTTTGAGAACAGCCATATAGGCCTTCTCATTTGAGACTTCCTTTGAGAAGTCTTTGCTTTGGGTCTTCCATGAAAGGAACCTTTGGATGATGTCTCTGTGGTTTTTTTCTTGCCTTATTATAGCACTTATTATATTATTACAGTTTAGCTGTTTATTTGACTAGGGCAGTAGACACAAAAAGGTACAAAAAATAAGATATGAATTCCTGTTATATCTTTAGTATTTACCACAGTTCTGTATACATAGAAATTGTTCAATAAGTAAATACATGTTGAGTGAATATCTCTTGAAGGTATTTGGGGATGACCTATGTTATTATCAGATTATGATCATTAACAGGTTTTTAAAATTATAACTGTTTTGTGCTTTTGTGATACTTTCTTAACTTTTTTGATCCACTGGTAATCTGATTTCGTTTTTGAAAGCAAGTTTTGTTTTATGTTTATATTGTTTAAATACAAACACATCAGCATATATAGAGAAAATATATTCGAATTTTAGAATAGAATTTATCACCATGAGCCAGAAGGTCTATCTTTGAATCTGTATTTTTCACAAGTAACCGTGGAGCCTTGAATAAATCTTTTTATTCCTTTTAAGATAATTTTTCTTATCAAATAATGGGAGGCCTAGGTTATCTAAAATTTTTTTCCTGTATAACATGCGATTACATATGAAAGTATCAAGTGCATATTAAACATGATTTATTTTTATTTACATGATTTATTTTATTTAGATCTGATTATATATTAAAATATCTTTGTTTTTATAGGAAGGATGATAAAGACTATGCTCTAAAACAAATAGAAGGAACTGGGATCTCTATGTCGGCATGTAGAGAAATAGCAGTAAGTGAAACTCTTTTTATCATTGTTATTACCAACTAATTTTTCAACTGTGTGGGTTTCTGTATTGAATTGACCTCATTTATTGAAAGCTGATGAATATTTTTCATATTAAATATTTATAAAAATGTGTCTTTTTAAGAAGAAGTAAAGGTAGCATTATATTTCTATATAATATAAATGCAATTACTTGAGATAAATGTAATCTTATTTATATGAATATATATCTTTTCAGTAGATGTCACTAGTAGTTAAGTTTCTGTTATTTTACTTGAGTTAGTAAAAGTGGTTAGACCATATAAAATTAATATTTCTATCTTAATAGGATAAGATTAATTTCATTACTTATGTCAAATTAAAATGAGATTGTATTATTTGATTAGAATTATATCTGTCTGTTCATCTGAATATGTAAAAATGTATGCCTTTTCCTTTTGGAAGCATAACTTTCCATATGGTAATTAGAATCTCATTTTGATTCCAAGGGGAAATATTCTTCATGTTAATACATTACTTAATAATTACATAGACATTTAAACTCAGCATTACTTCCTTGAGATTTTACTTTAGTTTTTACTGTTATAAAAAGTATGGGACCAAATTAATTTTTTCTGCTTCAATCAGAATACTCTGGGACATATATATTCAGCTCTTCTCTCTGCATAAATAAAAGCTTTTATGAACTAAAATATTAATTTAAATTATTATACTTGTTTAACATATTCTATGCCAGTAAGTCTTCATCCAACAGACTTTATTATGTACTGTGTTGACAAAGTCAATGATTATAGTAGGAAAAGTAAAGAAATACAGAACAAGTTGAGGTCCCCAGCCTCAAGTATTTATATTATTCTGAGGAAGGAAACTCATAAATCTCATAAAGCAAACAGTGGGCAAAGCACCACGATAGAAAAGTGGGAATGGAAGAGACTAAAGAAACAAGTAAGGTTCCAGGTGTTGAAGAACATATAAGAATTACTTCCATGAGGGATGCATAAGGGAGGACATTTTTAACTGAATGTATATCACATTGGAAGATGTATTTCAATTAATTGATAAACTTTTATACTCTTGAATCTTAAGGCAAATATCTATATATTAGCTATTATTTCTTCAGTATGTTACTATTCTGTTTATTCAAGTCAGTTTTAAGGAATTAACATCCTTTGAACTATGGTCAGTGATGTTGGAAATCAGGATCGTGATTGCCCTTGGAGGAAACAGTGACAAGAAGTGGGACAGGGAACTAGTGCTAGTAATGTCCTGTATTTTGATCTTGTTCTGGGTCTGGTTCCAAGGGTTCAATATGTGAAAATTTATTGAGCTCTATGCTTATAGTTCATATTCTTTTCTTTATATTTATTACTTTTTTTTAACAAAATGTTTTTAAAATACAAAACTTCATTCAGTTCTGGAACAAACTTGGTTATCTTTACCTATAAGGATTACTAAATTCAGTTAAACACAAAAAGAAATAGGATGAAGTTTTAATTTTGTTGAAATCTAATTTACAGATGTTTTCCTTTTATGCCTTTTTTTTTTTTTTCAATCTGATTGAAGACGTCTTTGTTAAAGGACTTTGTAAATATGGGCTGTTTCTAGACTATTTAGTCTGTTCCATTGACTCTATGTCTAGTCTTATGCGAGTACCAGATTACTCTACTTTTATAGCAAGACTTACAGTCAGGTTGTGTAAGACTTACCAGCTTTAATTTCTTATCAGGATTGTTTTGACTGTTATAGATCCTTTGCATTATCATATAAATTTTGAATCAGCTAGTCAGTTTCTACTTGTAAAAAGTACCTGCAGGGATTATAATTTTTATGAACCCAGGGAGAATTAACATTAATAATATTGGGACTTTCAAGCCAATAGAAAAACATACTTTCCATTTTGCAAGGTTTCTTTAATTCTTCTCAACAGTGTTTCATAGTTTTTAATGTAGAGGTTGTGCACACCTTTTGTTAAGTTGATTCTTCATGAATTGATTTAAAACATAAAGCACTTCATATTTTTTATGCTAAATGGAATTATTTTTAAAAAATTCTTTTCATTTATTGTTCCTGTCTATACTCTGTATTTTTTAAAATTGTGTGTTGCATATCTGAGATGTTTCTAAATTCAGGTTTTTGTTGATTTCTTGGGATTTTCTACATAAATAATTATGGCATCTATGAATAAGATATATTTACTATTTTCCATCTGTATGCTTTTCGTTTTCTTTTATTTCCTTACCTAGCATTGGGCAGGGTGTTTTGTGTAATTTTGAATAATGGTAAGAGCAGGCATCTTGATTTGTTCCCTATCTTAGGGGAAGTTTCACCATTTAGTATAATGTTAACTATACGTTTTTCAAAGATGCCATCAGTAAGGATTTTAGGAAGTTCTCTTTTAGTGCTAATTTCCTAAGAATTTTTACATAAATGGTATTTTTGTACATACATTGAAATATATAATTGAATTCATAAATTACAATTAATTTTGTAGTACTTATTAAATTTTGCATTCCTGAGATAATCTATATTTGATATATTTTTGGATTTGATTTGTTATACATGGTTAAGGATAGTTTTGTTTGTTTGGTTTTTGGTACTGGGGATTAAACTCAGGGGTGCTTAACCACCGAGCTACATCCCCAACCCCCACTTTTTTTTGTACTTTATTTAGTGGTAGGGTCTCGCTGAGTTGCTTAAGGCCCTTCTAGGTTGCTGAGGCTCGCTTTAGGCTCGCTTTGAACTCGTGATTCTCCGGCCTCAGAGCCATTGGGATTATAGACATGTGCCATCGCACGTGACAAAAGAACTACTTTTTTATCCTATTTTTTTTGACAGTTTGGGTAATATCTGTATTTATTCTTCTTTAAATATCTGATAGACTTCACCAGCCAATATTTTACCTTATTGAGATATAAAACCTTTCAGATTTTATTTTTCATTTTATGTTTAATAAGTTAAATTTTTATATAATCTTGTACATTTAATTTAAATTGTTGAATTTATTGGCACAAAGTTGTTCATAATATTCCCTTACTGTCTTTTCATATTTATGTTTGATAATGATTTCCTTTTTTGTTGTTTTGTTGTAGATTCTGGTAACCTTTGTGTTTCTTTCATAAATTTATGCTGTATCACTTCCTTTATTTACTTTGGGCTTATATTTATCTTTGTAAGGTAGAACTTTAGGCCATTTTTTTTTAAAGCTATTCTGTTCTAATAGAAGCATTTAAAACTATAAATTTCTACATTGTGTTTTACCTGCATTCCACAAATTTTGTATTTTTAATATCACTTAGTGCAAATTACTTTAAATTTTCTTTTAAATATGAATTATTTAGAAATGTATTGTTAATTTTTAAATATGAGATTTTTCTAGCTATGTTATAGTTACTGATTATTAATTTATTTTCATTGTAGTCAGTTTTTAGAAATAAATACTAAAATATTTATTGGTAAAATGATATGATATGTGAGATCTCTTTCAGAATAATTTAAGATGAGGGAGGAATGGGCATGAATACTGGTAAAATAAGATTGGCTATATACACAGGTGAAATTTGTAAAACCAAAAATTTCCCATAATTTCTAGCAAATGTTATCAGTCTTCCTGCCTTCCATTTATTAAATCTTCTCAGAGAAGCCCTCAGTGTCCCCACCACCTACTTCTCTTACTCCCATGATCACACGCAGCTTGTTTGTTTAATAACATTTATTATAAATTTTAATTGTATACCCTCCTACAAATGTGTATTTGGTTCCCTGTCTTTGGACACATAAGAATTGAAGGAAAAGAAAAGTGGATTTGGAGATATCTGGACCTGCTTGTTCCTCTTGGGGTCAGAATCAATCATCCCATATGAGAAAAAAAAATTGTAATTTAAAGGAGTTTTTTCATTTTACTTATTTTTTTAAGCAGTTACCCCTACTAGATGGTAACACATTTCTTCATCAGTGTGTCATAATTCAGTCCATAGACCAAAAGCCCCAATGGTATATTATATAACATCCTTCAGTTTAGTTGTACATTTTGTTAATTCATATATGTATTCGTATATTCACCAAATACTTAATGAAGTCCTGCAAAGTACCAGTCAGTGTGCTAGGAGCTAGCCCTGCAGTGATGATAATGACTACATGGTCCTGCCATTGTTAGGTTAACCATCCAGTATTCTAATATATTTTGTCATATGGTCTTTACTCAGAAGGGAGGAAGGAAGGAAAGTGAGAATTTCTTCAAATGCAAAGGGCTTTGTATATATTTCCATCTTCATTTTATTGTAAGTGGTTTTTCTTTTACATTTCAAAAATTTCCTGTGAGCTGGAATCTCTTTAACTTTGTCATCTTTAAATTGTGCATTAATAGACTGTTAGTATTCCAAGTAGTTTTCTTGTAGTTCAAATGGGGGAGCAGAGGTAGAGATCGAGACTCAGCTTTTAAGGCTCACTTCTGCTTTAACCTAAACATCTTGGTTTTTATAAGAATTTAGTTGAAGAAAAGGTTCCACAGCTTTAAAATTTTTTTGAAATAATTTTGTACTAATTTGTCTAATAGTGATTTCAACTCAACTTTCACTGTACTTTCAGTATACATTTATAATTTGTTTTTGCTATATTGTGAAATTTTAATATTAGAGAACAATGCAGTTTTGAGAATATTAGTAATTTTCTTATCTACTTTCATACTTGTCACTATAGGTGGCATGTATTAGCATTGTTTTAAATATCAGTTTATGTTGTATTTATTTATATTTTAAAATTTGAAATGTGAAGTTGTAGATAACAGCTAGAGTGAGTCAAAGTTTAGCAGGGATGATTAAAATCAGTAATCTTAATACTCAGAAAATCGTAAGTTTTTTTTTAAATCCCCAGTAGAATTAGAAAAACAAGTGATTCCTATGATGAAACCACCATCGTATGAGTGTATTTAAACCTTTTATTTTCAAGAAGTTTAACATAAAATATTTGAAAAGGCAAAAATAACTTATAAAATGTTAAGAACTAGGCATCAGTATGCCATGTGTTCTGCTTGGAGTCACATAGTGCTGAAGTCCTTTTCATGAGAAAGGGAAATGGCATATTCACACAGTGTCAGAGCATCAGCCACACAGTAGCATCCTGGTAGCCAGGATGTTCACCAGACTCCCTGAGCTCTGCCACTTCACTAGTCTGTCAGACCAAAACAAGTGTCTTAATTTTCCTGCATCTCACTTTCCTCATGGGAATAAAAATAGTGTTTCATAGGGTTTATTGTGAGGAACTTGGAACATTTCTTAGGATATAATACATTCTAAATGTTAGCTACACTCCAAAAGTGTTACTCAGTAATTGTTAGTTACTACTGCTACAGCCAGAATTGCCTGTATACCTGCATTTGTCTCCTACTAGAGAACTTCAGCAGAAGCTCTTAAAATGTTTGCTATCCCTAAGATGTAGCAAGGCATCTTCCACAGAGCCTAGCATATAGAGGGCTTTGGTGGATGTTAACTCTGCCAAATGCAATAGCACAGCATATTGTTCTTTTAGAAGGTTTTTGGTATGAATATCTGCTGAGAGGTGATTCTGTACAGAGAATGTTTACTTCTGTGATTCCACCTCTCATCTCATATGGCCTTTCTTTTTCTTCTCTTTTTTCTTTTTTTTTTAAACTTTGATCCTCCTGCCTCAGCTTCCTGAGCTGCTGGAATTACAGGGGTGTACCATCATGCCTAGCATTTATATTTTTTAAAAGGAAGGATAAAGATAAATGCCTAGTCTACACAAACCCTGTGGTTAATGTGTGTACTGATTTCACGTGATTCATTCCCCATATGATGCAGGGTAGACTTTTCGGTCCCCAGATAAAAAGATTCACTTGCAGTTTGTCAGTCTCTGTTTTTTTGTCTGCCCATATAGGGACTTTTTTTTTTAACTTTAATTTTTTATTTTTATTTTTATTTTATTTTTTAGTCATACATGACAGCAGAATGTATTTTGACATATAATACATACATGGAATGTACATACATCAATCATGTTATCTATTCTATTCTACTGCCCTTCCTATGCCCCCTACTCTTCCCCTCCACTCCCCTCCTTTCTCTCTATCCAACCTAATGTGACACACTTTTTTTTTCTTTTTCTCATCACAACATCATATATGTATTCTGTATAACAATGAGCTTCTCCTTCCATTTCCCGTGCAACTCCCCTTCTCCCTCTTTTTCCCTCCCACCTCTTCTCCCTACTTAGTGGTAGTCTTCTTCTCATGCTCTTCCTCCCTATCCCATTTTGAGTCACCCCCCCTTATATCAGAGAAGACATTCGGCATTTGTTTTTTAAGCATTGGCTAACTTCACTTAGCATAATCTGCTCTAATGCCATCCATTTACCTGCAAATGCCATAATCTTGTTATTTTTTAGTGCCGAGTAATATTCCATTGTGTATAAATGCCACATTTTTTTAATCCATTCATCTATTGAAGGGCATCTAGGTTGGTTTCACATTCTAGCTATCCTGAATTGTGCTGCTATAAACATTGATGTGGCTGTGTCCTTGTAGTATGCTCTTTTTAGGTCTTTTGGGTATGGGACTTTCTTTTTTTAATCCACAGTGACCTGTCTCTTGATATGCCTTCCGTAAATCAAAACAAAACAAACAAAACAAAAATACAAATCCTAAGATGATGTTTACTCAAATGTGATAGTTACCTACTATATTAGTTTGCTAGGGCTACTATAGTAAAATACTTACAGACTGGGTAATAAAGAAAGCAAAGAAATTTATTTTCTTAGTATGGGGGCTACAAGTCTTAGGACCAAGGTGCTGACAGGGTTGGCTGTGACCTTTCTCTTGCTGTCTCTTCCAGTGGTCATTTCAGAAATACTCTTGGTTTCTCTTTGTATGTCTTCATTTCTTCTTAGGAAACACTGGTCAGATTGGAATAAGGTCAACTCTAATGGCTTTGTTTTAAATTCATTCCATCTTTAACGGCCCTGTCTCTAAATACAGTTACATTCCAAGATATTGGGGAATAGGGCTTCAGCATATGATTTGGGGTGAACATAATTCAGTTTATAATACTCTTACCACTGTTATAATAGTTACTTAGTGATTGCCTTCTGAGTTTTTTTTTGGGGGGGTGTCTGGCTAATTAGATGAATTTTTTGGGAAAAAAGTATTTTTAACAAGTAGGTTGGTTTTTATGAAGAAAGCATTGATTTTAGTCCATAGATCAAAAGCCCCAATGGTATATTATATAACATCTTTCAGTTTAGTTGTGCATTTTGGTAATTCATATATTCACCAAATAATTAATGAAGTCCTCCAAGTGCCATTCAGTGTGCTAGGAGCTAGCTATGCAGTGATGAGAATGACTACATAGTCCTGACATTGTTGGGTTAACCATCCAGTATTCTTAAAACATCTGGGTCTCTGGATTTTGAAGAGAACTGTTCAGGATAATATCTCTTATGAGGTATTGGTATTAGACCATGGTAGTTACAAGAACTGGCTTGCATTTTGGAAGTTAATTTTAAATACATTTTAGGTCTGCCTTATGTCTTCCTATGAATATGACCTTGAATAGATTATTTAACCCTCTTAAACCACTGTGTCCTCATTTGTAAAAATAGGAGTAATATAAATATTTCATGGGTTTAGGTCATGATTGAGATAATGCATTTTATATGTATAGTATCATACTTAGCACCTAGGAAAAAGCTACTAGTTTCTACTGGTTTCTTTTTTAAATATAGGAGTGAGACTTCATATGGGAATTGAAATTAAGAGACATCTAAAAATAACTATATGTAGGCTTCTAATAATTGGAGAGATCTTTTGTCAAAGTTTTGGAGTTTGTTTAAGTTATAAATCCTACCAATTTCCAGAAAGGATTTAAACTAGCTATTTGGTTTAGGAGTATGTTTCAGTTTTGTGGTAATACAAGAAACATTGAACTGGAATTAATACTGCCTTAGCATCAACTTAAGCTCTTCCAGTGAACTGGAAGATCTTGGGTGATCCCAAGAGCTAGCTTGGCCTGTCAGGTTATTCATCTGGTTTATATTAATTTAATTAGTAAATGGTTCCTTTGGTAGTGACCTTTAGGGATTTTAGGATTGGTATATTAACCTCCAAATTCTTATAAGTTGAAAAATTTTATTGTAAAAGCAGAAATATCTTCTTTCTCCTGCATGAAATAATTTTTACTCCCTCCAGAGAACAATATTTAATATGTGGCTTGATGTTTAGTTAATTCATTTATGGTGATTTCTTGTTACGTTGGCAGTGTTCTTACCAAAGACACTGAAGTCTTAAGTTCTAAGACCTTAACTTTCTTAGATGGCTACTCTGTATTTGGAGCACATTTGGAAGGCCCTGTAAAAGTCTGTTTTAATTGATAAGAGCATTATATCTTTTCTTGTTGTAGTTGCTATTTTTGCTTTTTCTTGGCAGGAGGTACACGAACTTTTTAACTACATGTATATTAGAGCCACTTTGGTTATCCTAAAATAAGGAGATATAAAATATTTTAAACAAAAGAACATCCTTTTAGGAGACTAGAAAGGTTAAACCCACGAAAATATACTCTGCTTCAATACTTCTGTTTGTAACATTCTGTGTTATTTTATGAAAAAGGTCACATATTTTAAATTAGTGTTACTACATAGTTTAAATACCTGAAATTAAGTACTGTATCTCAGAGTTTATTGATCTTGACTCTCAACTGCTGTATGGTATTGATGAATATCGTATTTTCTAGTATCACAATTTGTTAAGCCTTGAATTTTTTAAAAAAATGATTACAAGGTGCAGATTTGTTTTAACTGTTTTGTAATTTCATAGACAACTTACATAGACAACTTACAATGGAAGAAAATA